AGGTTTAAAGCTAGCCCCGGCAGATTAGTCTGCCAGACTCCATCTTCCAAATTAACCAGCAAAAAGCCGGGGAGGAGATGTGATCCAAGTAGTGCAAGTCAAGCGCAATCATAAGGCCTTGAGTTCAGTACTGCTCTCCACAGGCTAACAATAACTTAAAGTAATCAAGCTGCTCTCAACTGCTGACAGAAGACAGAGCTATAAAAAGGACATTCCTTATAGTCCCAGGGGCACAACAGATAGGAGAGAGATTTGACAAGTGGGACTACATCAAAACAAAATGTTTCTGCACAACTAAGGGCATAGTTATTAAACTAGAAAGATAGCCAACAGTGGGGAAAGCTCTTTATCAGCAATGTATCAGACACAAAGGCCTAATATCCAATGTATACCAGTATATACTAATATCCAATATATACTAACCTCTCCCAACCTAATAAACCATCACTCAATGGGCACGGGAGCTAAGGAGAGACTTCTCAGGAGAAGAGTTGAGAATGGCAAATAAACACATGAGGAAATGCTCACCATCCCTGGCCATAAGGGCAATGTAAATCAAAACAACTCTGAGATTCCACCTCATCCCTCTAACATTGGCCAACATTGTGAATTTGAACAACAAATGCTGACAGGGATGTGAGGAAAAAGGAACCCTATTACACTATTGGTGGGAATGGAAACTAATACAACCACTCTGGACAGCAGTCTGGTCTGGAGGTTTCTCAAAAACCTAAACCTAGACCTTCCCTACGACCCAGCCACACCACTCCCAGGCATCTACCCTGAGCATCATGAGCCAGGATATGATAAAGACACCTGCACATCCATGTTCACTGCTGCACTGCTCACAATAGCCAAGATATGGAAACCGCTCAGATGACCCACAGGAGATGAGTGGGCCCCAAAAATGTGGCACCTATACAAAATGGAACTTACACAGCCATTAGAACGAGTAAAATAACGTCACCCGCAGGGAAACGGGTGGAACTAGAACAAATCATGTTAAGTGAGGTAAGCCAAGCTCAGAGAAACTAAGGGCGGCACACGTTCTCTCTGACATGCGGAAGTTATATCTATGCACTGGGATATGATAAATTATATAGGATTCTAGATACTCACCTACAGGGAGACCAAAAGAGGACACTCTTAGGAGAAAAACTCAAAGGTGCAATGCCTAAGTAACTTACTTATATAAAATAATACACATCTTGTTTCCAAGATATGGAAACAAGAGATTTCTTTTTTATTCCTTTCTCTTTTTTTTAGTTTTTGATGATTTTATCTTCTTTACACTGTATGTATGGTATATGCATGTACACATCTTTGGAAGGGTTGGGAGGAGGGCACAGGACTCAAGGGAAAAAGTGTGAAAACGTGCAGCAGTGGAGCTCACTGGACACTGATGAAAGTGAACTATACAACTCGCGGGTGGAGATGGGAGCGAAGGACTGGGAGAGAGTGAGGGAAGGGAAGACCCAGTAGGAAAGGAGATGCGCTCATTACCTGACTCATGCAATCGCGATCCCTCTGCATATCACACCTCTATAATACCAATGAGTTAAACCAATTAATTAAAGACAGGACATTCTGCTAGGTGGCAGTGGCTCCTAGCAGTGCCTGTAATCTTAGCTGCTCAGGAAGCTGAGATCTGAGGATCTTAGTTCAAAGCCAGCCCAAGCAAAGGAGTCCCCATGAGACACCTATCTCCAATCAACCTCTCAAAAGCCAGAAGCGCTCTATGGCGTTGTGAACTGCAGCCTTCAAGAACACATTCCACATTCCTGGCTCTCCACGGCAGTTCAGTTGTCACCTTCACAACAACTTCACCCATTGCCTGGTCACGCACGGATTACATGTAGGGGCTAAGACTCTTTCACTTATTTCCTGGCCTTTCAGGCCTTCCTTTGAAAGCTTGGATGCCCCTGCCCAGTACCTTGCATTTGGTATGCCTCCACACGTGTACAGGATGCCAAGGTCTACAGCCAGCCTGAGCAGCAGCCTGGCCCAGGCCCCTTAGAGCACGGGTAGAACAGGCTCTAGGTGGCTGGGTTCTGAGCACAGTGAAATGAATCTCAGGAAACAATTTCGTAGGTGGCCTTGTGCAAGAAGGATGTCCCAAGATGCTCTCTTCCATGGTAAAGTTTTTTTCCATAAGTCGAGTCATGCTGCGGTGGGTAGGGCCTTACAGAGTCCTGAGATGCCCGCAAGGCATTTTTCTATTGTCCAATGTACAGTGCTGGGCTTCTTCTCCTTTTTATTTTTTTTGGTCGGTCATGGGGCTTGAACTCTGGGCCTGGGCACTGTCCCTCAGCTCTTCAGCTCAAGGTGAGTGCTCTACTGCTTGAGCCACAGAGCCACTTCCAGTTTTCTAGTGGTTTATTGGAGATAAAGAGTCTCATGGAGTTTCCTGCCCGGGCTGGTTTTGAACCATGATCCTCAGATCTCAGCCTCCTGAGTAGCTAGGATTACAGGTGTAAGCCACCAGCGCCCTGCTAGGCTTCTTTTTAATGTTCTAATCTCTTCAGCAACCCTACCTCCCTTTGCTACTCAGGATTTCTGGACCCAAGTCCTCTGTTTTCCAGTCCTTCTGTTTTGCATTTTGCTCATAATTCTCACTGTAATCCTGGCTAAAAGCAGCTGGCAATAGCCACTGCCAGAGCCTAAATGCTGGAATACCTTTAAAATATCTCCTCCAAATCCTTAGGATACGGACAAAATAGAGACCAGTTCCTGTCCAGTATGACACGCATGCCTCTAGTCGAATTCCAGGTGGAAGCAGTCCTGGTCCCTCTGAGCCTCACGGTACCGGCTTTCTGCCTGCATGCTGACGAGCATCCTGGTCTTCTGGGCCCCCACCAGCGGCACCCGTTATGCTCTGCTTATGGCATCCTAGCTTACTTTCCCAAACTCTTCCAAATCCTTTCCACAAACCAGTTCCAAAGGCCGAGGAACCACATGGTCAGGTTTAGTCAGAGCCATGAAACACTGTGTTTAATTTTCTGTACTAACTTTTCCCATCTCTGTGACCAAATATCTCACAAAACAGATGGATTTGGGCTCATGGTTTCACAGTGCTTATTTGAATCATGGTGAATAGGAAGCAGGGACACAGAAGAAGAGAGGCAAGAGGAGAGTATGGGAACAGACTGGGGACTCAACAAGGCCTTCAAAGACATACGCTCTGTCACCTTCCTCTAGGCTCCACCCCCGAGGTTCTGTAGCCTCTCAACACATTGCCTCCAGCTATGGACCAAGCTTGAAGACACAGGCCTACAGGGAGAGCAGTGCTCTCTCTCTCTCTCTCTCTCTCTCTCTCTCTCTCTCTCGTTTTGTTGGTCATGGGTCTTGAACTTAGGGCCCTGATGCTGTCCCTGAGTTCTTTTTTTTTTTTTTTCGGTCGGTTGTGGGGCTTGAATTCTGGGCCTGGGCGCTGTCCCTCAGCTCTTCAGCTCAAGGCTAGCACTCTACCACTTGAGCTACAGCACCACTTCCGGTTTTCTGGTGGTTTATTGGAGATAAGAGTCTCACAGTCTTTCCTGCCCGGGCTGGCTTTGAACTGTGATCCTCAGATCTCAGCCTCCTGAGTAGCTAGAATTATAGGCGTGAGCCACCAGCGCCCGGCTAGTTCTTTTTTTTTATTTGTCGGTCATGGGGCTTGAACTTGGCCTTGGGGCTGTCCTTGAGCTCTTCAGCCCAAGGCAAGCACTCTACCAGTTGAGCCACAGCACCAATTCTAGCCTTTTCTGCTTATGTGGTGCTGAGGAATCAAACACAGGGCCTCATGTATGGAAGGCAAGCGCGCTACCATTGAGCCACCTTCTCAGCCCCCTGTCTCTGAACTCTTTTGCTCAAGGCTAGCGCTTTGCACTTTGAGCCACGGCACCACTTCTGGTTTTTTGGTGGTTAACTGAAAATAAGAGTCTTACAGATTTTCTTGCCTGGGCTGATTTTGATCTGCAATCCTCAGATCTTAGCCTCCTGAGTAGCTTGGATTACAAGTGTGAGCAACCATCACCCAGTTAGGGGAGAACACTGCATTTTCAAACCATAACACATATTAAGGAAGAAATAAAAGTATTTTCAGTCAAGAAGGCAGTCAATGCTGAAATGTCAGTTGGGGGAAACATCAAAAACTTTGAATAAAGAGTTCAATGAAAAAAATCAGAATTTAAAATCCTATATTAAGCAATAATGACTCATCAATAACTGGAGGGAGAGGGCAAGGGAGAGAGGGAGAAAACAAGGCTGATTTAAAGGCAGGCAAGATAGTAGCAGAAAAAGTAAGTCCCACACACCAGTTATTCTGTATCAAATTTTGGTAGCAGCATCACAGGAAATGTCTCAGGTAGTACTGCCTGAGTCAACAAAAGGAGAAAGTAAAGATAGTTGCAGATGGCCTCGAAACAGTTCTTCAGAGGATTGAGGTTAGGGGCTGAAACACTCTGATTAACTCATGGCAGACTGTCTCAGCCAATCACCACATATTATCCTAATCCCAGCATTGACTGATAGAAGCTTGTCAGCCAATTAGCATGGGCTGCTCTGACATCAGCTTGGTCCCACCAGTATTTTAACTCTACATCATTAGAATTTTTCTTCACGGGTATGGAAAACATTTACTTCGAAACTAAATAAAGGTGCTAGTACACTACTGTTAGATATGTTAAGAAAACACAAAAAGTTTTGAAGATGGTAAGAGAATAAACGCAAATTAAAGTTTTAGCATTTCTATTCCACAGGGTAGTTTCTGGGGACTGAGGGAGTTCATAAATATAAAGGGTCTATTATATAAGCAATGATTATATATTATACCCAGGTTCCTAAGAGGCAATGAATTCTGTCACTATCATGACCCTTCTGGTCTCGTACGTGCTATAGAGAAAGCCCCCATTCTTCCTAGGTGAACACATGTGTCTTAGCGGAGGAAGAGACTGCCCCTCAAGCATCACAGTCCTGTGGCAGCTCCGGCTGGGACTCAAGGTTAAACTGCAGTCACTTACCATATGGACTACTTCCGGGTAAATGGGCTCTGTGATCACATTCCGATTATGGGTGATATATTCTACCATTTCACTTAAAGCAGCTCGTTTTACTTCCTTCCACTTTAGGTCACTCAGTGGGTCAGAAACAAAGTCAAAGAGGACACAACACTGACGTAACTTCTGGATAAAAAGCTTCTCTTGATCTGCAGGAGGAACATCTGCAAAGCAGAAAATAAAGCATATTGATCACAAAATTTGCTTAATGCAAAAGGGGCTAGGAACCACTTTTTAGTGTTCTGTTTTTATTCTGAATTAACAGAAGTTCAAGAAAAAAAGAGATGGGGTTGAGGTAAAGAAACATTACATTTCTTAAACAAGTGAAAAAGTAAAAGCTTGTCACGTCTCAGATCATACGTCTGACTTGAGAAGCGTGTTAAGCTCATCACTGCTCAGATCATGTGTCTGGTATGAAAGAGTACTTTTTTTTTCATTCTTTCAAACCACACTGAGAGTACTGCTCAAGACAAATCCCCCTTTCATGCATTCTCTGGACAAATTCTAAGCATCCAAGTTTACAGGCAAGGCACTAGCCAGGGGAAACAAGAACAAGAGGCGAGTGGTACGTCTCTAGTTGGGGTGAGGGTGTGGGTACATTTACACCAGGTGACTGCAGAAGACAGGTAGAGCACTGGTGGAAAGGGTTAGAGGGGAAGGGTGCTTCCTCTTACTCTAAACTGCTACAGGGGAGGCTACAGTGGCTGTCACAGAAACAACCTGTTACAGATCTCCAATAAAAGCATCTCCTTAGTGCTCCTCAAAGCCCATTCCACTGCTTTTTTCTGGTCTACAGTCAATGCACAGCACATGTGATGAGGGATAGCACTCATGATGACACTATTTACGAAATGGAAGTAATGATAGTAACCACTATTTAGTGGTTATAACTATATGTATTGACATTTTTTTCCACTTAAGTTTTACAAAAAGACAACTAAGATAAACAGATTTAGAGGATTACTAAAGGGTGGCAACTGATGAAGCTGGGTTCAAACACTGTTGCTATGACTGGCTGGTATTCTGGGAAGTTTGGGAAACCTGTCAGTGTATGCCTGCTGGCTTCCCTAAGCTGAATATGGGATCTGTATAATGGTAAGTGGCAGTTGTTGATATATGTACTGAAAAGGTGTCAAAGAGTGGTCAAGTGTCTCAGCAGATTCGTGTAACTCTGTGAAACAGTATTTTCCAAGTGAGTTAACAAATGGTGTAATATCAGAGCCAAAGTCACTGAATGTGCAAGGCAGACGGGAAATGAGAATTTAAAACAATATAATTATATTGTTATTATTAAGGTGCAACTAAGCTTTGTGGGTATTTATTTATTTATTTTGGGTGCAGTTACTGAGGCTTGAGCTCAGGGCCTGGACACTGTCCCTGAGCTTTTTTGCTCAAGGATAGTGCTTTACTATTTGAGTTACAGCTCTTTTTGGGTTTTTTTTTTTTTTTTCAGTCCTGCTTTTTTGGCAGTTTATTGGAGATATGAGTCTCGGGGACTTCCCTGGCTGGCTTTGGACTACAATCCTCAGATCTCAGCCTCCTGAGTAGTTAGGATGACAGGCGTGAGCCCCCAGTGCCCAGCTGCCACTAGATTTTAAAGGGATAAAATATGCAGATAGCTTATTGATACGCTTTCACACTTCACACTGTAGGTTCCTATAAGAAGCTACTCCAAAATTTTGGTGCACTATCACAGAAAATGTCCACCACTCTCTGGAATGGCCATTGAAATACTCTTCTCTTTTCCAACCATGTCTTCCTACATGCAAGCACAGCAACAACGATCAGAGTGTGAATGACCAGAGTGTGAATGCAGAAACACACCGAGGGGCCCAGGCATCACCTAGTAAGTGAGGCATTACAGAGATTTGTGATATAATAAAACAATGTATGCTCACTAAACTTAACTTTGTTTTGGAAAATACCTCTCTTTTCAAAACAATGCTAACTTCTGTCAAGATGTAATAAGTTTATTAATGAGTTAATAAATACATGTTAGAATTTTTCCTCTGGTTAATTTTGAATAAGTCAATGCTAATAGCCAAGAGTCACGTAAACAGAAACTGTTGGGGTCCTAGTTACTTTTAGGAGTGTAAGGGGTCTGGAGATTAACCTTCCCACGCTGGCCTCACCCCACAGAATGTCTGGGAGCACTTGGGCTCCTGCTGTCTTCAGCACATTGTGTTTTTGCTCTGGCCCACAGTTCTCGCTGCTGCTCACTAATTGTCAATGTGCAGTATGGGTTTATTTTTTGAAGGCCTTTTCTTACTTCTTAGGTTAGCTAAGACACATTGCTCTAAGCACTTAGCACTTCCAATTGTTTTGCACAGCTAGTGATCTGCTCAGGGTCTTCTCCGGGAGGGGGCAGGCTGTGAGGTCAGGGGATACGTGATTGTTTCCTAGCTCACTTTGTGTCCAACGGTAGCCTCAGATACAGATGGTACACAGACAGTGCTCTCTCAGTTTCATAGCCCCTTTGTGGGAAGGGGTGCTTTCCTCATTTGCCATGCTGAATGTTGAGGAAAGCGGAGCACAAGCTGGGAGCTGGAGTGGTACAAAGCACCCGTTTTAGAGACCCGAGAACAAGCATCTGATTCTAAACACTGTACACCCAGTTAGAATTACAGGGACCTTACCATCCTAATACCCTGTTTATGAACAGGGTTCATTTTCTGAGTTTCTTCCTTGTTTGCCTTTGATCCTCTTTCATTCCATAACCCTGCTCATATTCCGAAGGACCAAGGTGCCTTAAATGTGTTCATGGTTGCTTGCCCATTGGGATGGCCTCTGGCAATCTCACTGTCTCAGTACTACAGAGAACTAAGAAGCCTATAGTCATCTCGAAGAGCCACCCAGCACCCCATTGAGAGCCCCCTCACAGATGGCTGCTACCTTTAGGACCATTTCCCTCTGGACCCTTGAAACAGCAGCATGGAGTAGGTACTATAGGACCCATCTGAGAGGAAAAGGATTCTGAGAGCTGAACAGCCCATCCAGGCTCCTGGGCAGACCAGAGCCAATGGCAAGAAGAAAAACTTGAATATTGGGAGAATCAAGTGAGTCTTAAAGACTCTGAAAATATCATGTGCCTTTTAAATATAGCCCTACTGATACTCAGAATAAAGATGATGTTTCATCAAAACATGAAAATAAATCTACTATGACTAAGAAAGGACATAATAAAACCATTTTTCCCCACAAAAATGCTTCTATAAGGCAAGCAAATCTCAATGATTTGGAAGTGAGCTTGAATTCCTCCAGCGCTCTGGGCAGTTAAGGGGTTACTGCGTGGCTTCTGTTCACAGGTTGGTCATTATACTCTCACAAGCCTTTTGGTTACTTTAAATATCTTATTTGGCTATTGAAAATATGCTACTTAAAAAAATCTATAACAATGAAAGTGAGTACAGTATAAAAAACTCATATTAGGCCCTATCAGTTTTGTTTTTTTTTAAAGAAAGTCAATTTTGATCAGTACATTTTCTAAAATCTTACTTTTCTGCTGTACTATTCGGGCTGTACTACAGGGGAATAAAAATAGGTGGAAGTGAAGGAATGTGCTTTATATCTTATGAGCTCTAATTTCTTTTAAAAATTTAATTGTTATTTATAAAGATGATGTATCAACGTTACAATTACATAAGTCAAGAGTACATTTCTGGGGGGGAGGTGGGAGGGGAGGGATGGTAAGGGGAAACAAAGGAGGAGGCAACAATACTTGATAAGAAATGTACTCATTACCTTGCTCTTGTAATTGTAACCCCTCTGTATGGTATTTTCACAATAAAAAACTTATTAATAAAAAAAATGAACTCCAGGAAATGAAAAAAAAAGAGTACATTTCTTTTTGGACAATGTCATTCCTCCTCTCACTCTCTTCTAGCTTTTCCCTTCCTTCCATCCCTCCCCACAAGTTAAATAGTTCATTTTCAACAGTGTCCAGTGGGACACTTAACAGTGTAAATATTACCATGAATACCCCATATTTACATAGGTAACTTCAAGAACCACTCCAATTCCATTTTTTTTTTTTTTGTCAAGTTGGGTCAATTCTCAGTTGTTTAAAGGGAAAGCCTCAGTGATACTCAGGAGCAAAAGTAACAGACACACGTGTGCAGAATCTGCAGGGGAGAGGAGAGCTGAGGGCCTCAGAGACAACAGAAAGATGGTGAGGCTAAGAATGTATCACTGCTTCCAAACTTCAGCACTGTTGGCCTTCTGCTGAAGGCTGAAGGCAAGGCAGTCACTTGTCCGGGAGAAATGCAATGCGCAACAAGTTACCTCTGAAATAGGACGTGGGTCCTCATTTCTAGCTTTGTAAATGTCCCCAGTTGCACTGGTAAGGAAGGGCAGCATTTTTACAGGGCATGGCGCTGAGAAAGCCCCAAGGAACTGGATTTGTTGCATTCATGGGGGCTGAACTTGGGGCTGACCAAGTGAGATGTAAGAAGAAAACAGAAAGTCTGCTTGTATTTCTTCTTCTTCTTCCAAGAGTAAGAAACTAAGATGCTAGTATGTGTGCACGTCGCCTCACATGAAGAGGTGTGCTGGAGGCTGATCAGTGGGGCCTGGGAGCTGACACTTCCACGGGAGGAAGGTGATCCCCGGGAGTTTCTGAGGGTGTTGGGATCTCTGTAAAGACCCACCTTTCTTCTTGGGATAGGGTCTGGCTACTTTATTAATACAAACCTTCATTTCCTTCTCCCCCAAATCCTGCTTTAGGTATTCTAATGGGCATCCAGTTTAGGGAACCAAAGTTTTGGTTTAAATTAACTGCTTTCTAACTCTTACTCCCTCTGTATTCTGCTTACAATGGTGTCTTTTAATTTTAAGCTTGAACAATTAATTCTTTTGACTTAGGTATTTTGGCTACTTGTCCCCTTCTATACTAGCTTATCACTAGCTAAGAAACCTACAAAGCCAGACTGGCTGAAACCCTAGTTTCCCAATAGTGAAGAATGTTCAAGGGAGATATGTAACAGGTGTGTACCAGCTGCTTTGGTTGAAGAGCACTGACTTCTGACTTGGGCACATGCCCTAATGATAAGGTAAGAGCTAGTATCCCTGCCCCTGACTTTGTTTTGTGCCATTCCCTCCTACTGTCCTGTAATCCAGGAAGGAGGGGGTCGCCTGCAAAGTGCCAATAGGTGACCAATCCTGAGAC